ACCTTTTCCAAAGAGGTATATTATTCTCTGCTAGTTTCAGAGAATTAGTGTCACTTTTCTATTGTTCCTAAGGAAGTTCCTGAGAAAACTATTGTCAATATCAATTGTCAGACTTTAGATCGCTATTTTTTAAAGGCAATGCATTAAGTTTAATGTTCTCAAATTTCCGTTATCACCGGTAAACAAAATCTCAAGACTGGTGGCTCCCGCCTGTCATCCTAGCTACTCAGGAGGCTGAGATCTGAGGATCGCAGTTCAAAGCCAGCCCAGGCAGGAAAGTCCAGGAGACTCTTATCTCCAATGAACCACCAGAAACCAGAAGTGGTGCTGTGGCTCAAGTGGTAAAGCGCTCACCTTGAGCTGAAGAGCTCAGGGACAGCGCCCAGGCCCAGAGTTCAAGATCCATGACTGACAAAAAGAAAAAAGGAAAAAAAAATCTCTCAAGACTGAACCACCATTAAATTGAAGAATAGAGCTGGGTACTGGTGGCTCACGCCTGTAATCCTAGCTACTTGGGAAGATAAGATAAGAGGATCACAGTTCTAATTGAGCCCAAGCAGTAAAGTCCTGAGGACTTAGCTCCAATTAGCCAACAAAATGCAGAAAGTGGAGCTGTGCCCCAGGGGTTAGGTGAAAAAACTAAAGAACAGAGACCATATCCTAAGTTCAAGCCTAGTACTGGAAAAATTTTAAAGAAAAATAGAAAATTAAAGCATCATGTTGCTAAAGCTCTCTAAGTCAGATGAAGAGTTTACCAAGAAATAAACTATTCCCCCAAGCAAGTTAACACTTGGTAGAGGTAGAGTACAATGATATATAAAGTTAGAATCTTAGTTATTAAAACTAAAAATCCCTTTGTATGAATCTTTAAAGCAATATATATATAAGCAACACACATATACATATATATATATATATATATATGTAAAGGCAACTAAATTGTACAACTCTTTGAAATAATTTACATAAAGTAACACATGGAAAAATATATAAAGTTAATATATACAAATATATATATAAAGTTTTTATATATAATCCATATATATGAATATATATGGTAAACTGAGGAACATCAAAGGAAATGTATTCACTACCTGACTAATGAAATGGTAACCCCTCTGTCCAACACCGTAAAAATAGCAATGAAATTATATAGTTTTTTAAGAAGAAAAGGCAAGCATAACTGGAGACTGGTATTTTAGGGCCAAACTTTCCTATAGTTTTGTCAACAAAACACACAGCATACTCACTGATTAGCTAACCTGAAGTTTGAGACTGGGGTCCTCATTTGATAACCATGAGAACATAAGCATTAGTACAATCTAAGACAATCCTTATCATTTCGGAGTGTCCTCTACAAAGTAGAAGATAGCAAATTGTATAGCCACATCCAGTTGCTTAAACCTCACAACCACCACAAACCCTAGGAGCACAGTGGGACACTGAAATCCAAAGCTGATGGCGAAATCCAGGGTTTTCCACTCTGAATCACAAGTTCACAAAACCTTTCCCTTCCCAAAATAGATCAATTGCACACAATCTTTTTGAGGCACATCAGCAAAAGGATTTAATTTTGGTTAATAAAAAAAAAAAAGAAACTTGGGTAGAAATACAAAATGAAAGTAGACTTTCAATGATAACCAATTCGGAGGGGAAAAAAAAGAGGTCCTGTCTGAATATGATAAAGCCAGGAAAATCCTGCAGTTAATCCTAAAACTATGTGTGTGAAACTCTATGTAACTGAAGTAATAATAGTTACAATCTTGCTTCTTTAAAAGTATCACTTAAGATATTGTATCTACTGCTGCTTGCTACTTTTTCTGATTTAAAAAAAAAACAAAAAAAAAACCTGCCAGGCCCAGATGGCTCACACCTGTCATCCTAACTACTCAGGAGGTTGAGATCTGAAGATCATGGTTCAAAGCCAGCCCGGGCAGTCCGTGAGACTGTTTATCTCCAATAAATCACCAGAAAACCAGAAGTGGCACTGTGGCTCAAGTGCTAACCTTGAGCTGAAGTACTGAGGGACAGCACCCAGACCCAGAGTATAAACTCCATGACCGACAAAAACAAAACAAAACCAAAAAACCACACACACTTACCATGAGAACTATATAGGAGACTCTCAAGAAATTGCTGAAGGAATTTAACACAGTTAAGAATAAATATCCTAGCCTGGCCCTGATGGCTCATGCCTGTCATCCTAACTACTTAGCAGATTGAGATCTGAGGATTGGGGTTCAAAGCCAGCCTGGAAAGAAAACTTGGTGAGACACTTATTTCTACTCAACTACCAAAATGGCCAGAAGTGTAGCTGTGACTCAAGTGGTAGAGTGCCAGTACCGGCACAAAGAAAAGAAAATGTCTTTTGGCTACTTTTGTGTACAGCTGTAGTGTGTGGGTGTGGGTGTGTCTGTGTGTGTGTGTGTGTCTGTGTCTGTGTACAAGGGCTTGAACTCAGAGCCTGGGCACTGTCCCTTAGCTTTTTTGCTCCAGGGTGGTTAGGCTACCACATCCACTTCTAGCCTCTTGCTGGCTAATTGAAGACAAAAGTCTTATCAACTTTCTTGCTCGGGCTAGCTTCAAATCACAATCCTCAGCTCTCAGCCTTCTGAGTAGCTAGGATTGCAGGTGTGAGCCACCAGTGACAGGCTTGTTCTTTGCTTCTAATTGTAAAATGATCTACAGCATTTGCAAACAGTTCTAAGAGACCCTTGATGTGCCGTTTCCTCTGTGTGTCCAATGGCCACATCTTACCGAACCAGGAAGCTCAAACTGGGCAATCCACAAAACCTATTCAGATTCATCATCCAGAGCTACTTTCTAAGTGCACAATTATTTTCTGTTTCTAGCCCTTAGATTCTCTTCACTTTTATGGTAAGAAACGGAGAGCCTGAAGGGCAATGCGGTCAAGACTGTTCAAAAGGGGCTGGGAATGAATGTGGCTTAGTGGTGGAGCGCTTGCCTCGTAAACATGAAGCCCTGGTTCAACTCCTCAGTACCACATACACAGAAAAGGCCGGAAGTGGCGCTGTGGTTCAAGTGGTAGAGTGCTAGCCTTGAGCAAAAGAAGCTCAGGGACAGTGGCCAGGCCCTGAGTTCAAGTCCCAGGACTGGCATAAAAAATAAAAGAATGTTCAAAAGTAGCTGAGTGCCAGTGGCTCATGGAGGCTGAGATCTGAGGATCGCGGTTCAAAACCAGCCTAGGGAAGGGAGACTCTGTGAGACTCTTATCACCAATAAATTACTTTAAAAAGCCGGAAGTGGTCCTGTAGCTCAAGGGGTAGAGCACTAGCTTTGAGCACAAAGAGACTCAAGGGACAGTGCCCAGGCCTAGAGTTAAGCCCCACAACTGACAAAATAATAATAATAATAATGTTCAAAGGTAGCAAAAATGAAAGTGCGGGAGATCTTTTCATTTAGCCACAGCACACACATCTGGATGCATAAGGAATTCAGTTCAAACCTTCAAAACATTCCTATTTTCCAAGCTATTTCATGAGATAGATGACTATTTTCATCTTTCCAGATTCCCCAAAGCTTTCCTCACTAGAAAATTTACCTCTACTGGTCTATTGAAAAGTAGTTTAAAAAACATTCTTTTCTGCAACTGTACTATAATGAATTAACCTTACAGGAAAATTAGGTTGGGCTTGTTACAACTGGAAGCAACCAGTGACTTTGCCCTTTTCATCTAGAACAAAGCTCAATTTATGGCACAAATCAGGCTCATTAAATACCAGATAGATGCATGCATGGATGGATGGAAAAAGAGTGGATGGATGATGGATGATAGACAAATGGATGGATGGACGAATGGATGGATGGATGATGGATGGATAGATGGAATAATGGATAGATGGGTGAATGGATGGATAGATGGATGGACGAATGGTTGAATGGATGGATGGATGGGTAGATGATGGATGAATGGATGCATGCATGCATGAACAAATTAAGTAACCAAATATACCAAACCTTTCAAATGTCTTGAAAACAACAAAACCTGCTTTCTAGTAATCTGGTATTTCTGTGAAGAAAATTCTGATTTTGGGGGAGCTTTCACAAAATCAGAGGAAGGGCCCTAAAGGACATCTAGCCTGGCAATTCTCATCCTGGCTATGTGTTAGAATGTTCTACAACGGTTTTTTTAATACCATGTCCTTATCTCATGTATGAGGTAAGGCCTAGGAATTTGCATTTTTATTTAAGCCCCTAGATGGCTGATCAAAGAAGTCTAGTCAATCTGAATGTCTTAAGTCAAGAAAACACAGCCAGTCAGAAACAGTCATGAATCGAAAATCTAAACAGGAATTATACTGTTTTTCAATCAAGACATATAGGGGAAATGAAGAAAAAAAATATGAAATGTACTTTAACTGTTTAAATATTTTAACTATTTGGTTAGTTACTTTTCAGATATGAAACTAGCTGGACACTGGTGGCTCATACCCATTAGCCCAGCTACACAAGAGGCTGAGATCCAAAGACTCAAGATCCAAGGCTAGCCCAGTGGAAAAAAAGAATGAAAGCCTGAGACCTCATCACCAAAATAAGCAGAAAAAAAAAAAAAAACTGGGCTGGAGACATAGATCAAGTTTACAGCTCAAGGCCTAGCTGATCAAGCAACCAAGCACAGGAATAAAAACAATATGAAAATAAGCAAAAATTTTAAAAAAATCTCCTAACATTTGAGTCCTTTCTGGTACATGGTCATTGTCATTCTGGGCATGATCTACCCACCTGGCCATTGAGGTTGCTTTCTGGGATTTTGTTTTTCTTAAAAAAATGAAGTGGATGGCTGAGTGAATGTTGTATTCTTAGCAATGAGTGCTTTGCAGTACTCGCAGTTGGGATAGTAGCTGTCCATCAGATTAGCTCCATTTTTTTTTTCTTAACCAAAAGAGTTACCAGGTAAAATTGATACAACTCACTAGATACAGAGTGGTTCTGTAATCCATAACAACAGTGCAATCAGGTAAGAGAAGCTCCCGGCTTACCTTTAATGGAATCGCTTTCGGCTCTCATGATGTCAATGAGGGAGGTCTCCAGTGAATGCATGTCAAATGTCCTGGGGCGATCCTAAACACACAAACAAACACAGGCTGCGTTTAGACCGGACGATAATGGGGAGACAGAGATCACAAAACGGAGCAAATTCACCCCTCTTTCTTTTTAGGAACATTTCCAAACCATCAGAATCCATTAGAGTGTTTTTGTGTTCTAGCAATAATTTCAACAAAAGTGTCACTGTTATTCATAAAGCATAACCCATTAAAATGAATCTTACTGAAGGAAATTAAATTAATATAAAGGAAGCTCTTTTTTTGTTAAATCTCCATTGATGAAGACTGCAATAGCACAGCAAAGCTTTCTAAGCTGATCACACAATTGTCTAACAAACTGGCATATATATGCTAAGAGTCGCTATGCTGTCTTGTAAGTCAAAATTTAAAAACAGTTCTCAAATACCTGTTCCACTGATAAATGGTAAAACAGACCACAATAAGTATCACTGGGAAACCATAAGAAGATCAACTACATCTTTGATGAAAGATAATACATGCTTGATTTATCCAAATATGACCAAAGCTGTTTTTGAATGCTAATGATATACCTTCTCTAAAGGAACATACAATAGAGATATCTGTATATCCATGTTCATAGCAGCAATATTTACAGGGTTGAAGCTATGGAATCAGCCTAGGGGCCCAATAGCCAATAAGTAAATAAATAAATAAAAAGTGGTGTGAATCTACAATGATATTACCCAGCAATAAAGAACCACAAAACCAGGTCATCTGCAGGAAAATGGATGGAACTGGAGATCATTGTGTTGGGTGAGCTAAGTACCAGACAATCATGGTTTCAACTGGAAACAGACAATAACTGCAGCTGCTCGGAAGTCTGAGATCTGAGGATCTCCAGCCTAAGTCAGGAAAGTCTGTGAGATTCTTATCTCCAATTAACCACCAAAAAGCTAGAAGTGGAGCTGCGTTGGCACTAGCTTTGAGACAAAAAGCTCAGGCCCTGAATTCAAGCCCCAGGCCCTTATGTATACGTGTGTGCAAGCACGTGCATACATACACACACACACACACACACACAACTTCCTAATAAAATAAAACACAAGCAATAAAATCCGTTCCTAATGATATCCGCTCTTCTATTACATTGTTGGGAGGTCACTATTCTACTTTCCTAGCTAACTTCCTCAACTTATGGGCTGACAGAGTACATCACGTTGATAACCTTGCCTTCTCATTTGACCTTTTGCAAAGCTCTGTACTGGTAGAAATGCAGGCCACACCTCCTGACCCTACCTTCCCAAGACGATGGGTTGCGGGTCAGGCCTCACAGAGGGAGTGAGTCTGTGATTGCACAGAGGAAGGGGAGGAGGTGGGGACCCAAGAGCAGCAACACTTTGGATCGGATCCAACTTGAGAAGTCAAAAAAGAAAAACAAGGTGGTTTGCCAGTAGGGGAGAGAAGGCCCCAGGGGGGAGAGGGCTGAGTGGGGACAGGCTTTTACTGTGGGCCACAGGTGCCCTAATCGGCCCCAGAGTTCTACCATCCCTCCCACCGTGGCCGCAATTCAATCCGGTCCAGACAATCAAAAAGGTCTAAGTGTGTTTATAAAATGGAGAGAGTACTCTCACGTTGTACTTCAGGTCTGGATGTGTGTGCTGTGGCTAAATAAAAAGATCTCCCGCACTTTCATTTTTGCTACCTTTGAACATTATTATTATTATTATTTTGTCAGTTGTGGGGCTTAAGCATTTTCTTTGGGATAGTGAAATGAAACCGGGGCCGGAACTCGAAGGTTAGAAGTGAACACAAAGATCGTATTATAAACGGGCACATCCATGGCTCACGCCGGTTATCCCAGCTCCGCAGGAGGCTGAGTGCTGAGGATTGAGGTTGGAGGCCAGCCCTGGTAGGATCATCTTTGAGACTCCTTAGTTCCAGTTAGCCACCAACAAAACAAAAATGCTGAAATGGAGGTGAGGCTCAAGTGGTAGTGCTTTGAGGGAACACAGTGCCCAGGTCCTGAGTTTAAGCTCAAGGACAGGTACATGCAGATGCATGCGCGCGCATGTGCACACACACACACACACACACACACAAGTCATACTATCTCACTCTGTAGAGGCTGGATTTGTCCTCCGTTCAAGTCCACAAATCATATCTGTAAGCTGGGCCATCCACCACGTCCTTGTCAACACAGACCCGTCCTGGGAGCCAGTTGGTCCCTTGTGGTTCACTTGTCCTTTGCCTGAGAACCACCAAGGGCAGGAGCTATGTCTTAGATCAAGTTCCTAGTGTGTCTGCTTTAAACAGGCGATGCGCTGGGCCTACAGAGCCATGGCCTTTCCCGGGAGGACTACCCAGAAGCGCCTGGAAGCGCCTGGAACACCATCTGTCTTTAAAATGTCATCATTTTCTAGGTGTCTGACAGGAAAAGAGGTTAACACTGCCCCAGGTTTTTACACCGCTGTTTCATAGAAAGCATGCAAATGTTTGCTCAAATCAATGAATGGTGAATTCGAGCAAGTCATTTTGAAACTTTTCAAGTTATCTCCTGTCTCCTACTTCCGTGTCTTAGGGCCTGTTTATGTAGTTCTGCTTTCCGGCTGGAGCTCAGTGTGTTTCTTTCTGCCAAACTAAATAACGAGGGGAGTGGAGGAGCGAGGAAAGAAGCCACATTCTATTCTTCTTCTTCACAGAATGGAACCAATGAGAACCCTTGTGAATTTCCACAGCTTAGATTCTGCCAATCACTCAATGAATAGAAAGGGACTGAAGAGAAGCCGAGGACACAAAAATAGAACACAGCCAACTTGTGTTTGGTTTCTTTTAGAAGAGCTGTTTCTAGGAAGTCAAGAAGGCATTAAAAAGCCCTGTACCCATAGTTCAGGCCCGTGATTTAGCTACTCAGGAAGCTGAGAGGTGAGAATCTCGGATCCTGCCTGGACAGGAAAGTCTGTCAGACTCATGTCCAATGAATCGCTGGCTTTTTAGCCAGAACTATGGAACTATGGCTCAAGTGGTAGAGTGCTAGGCTAGCTTTGAGCACAAAGGCTCTGGGACAGTACCCAGGACAAAAACAAAAATAGAAAAAGAAAAGGAGGAGGAGGAGGAGGAAGAGGAAGGAGGAGGAAGAAGAAGAGGAGGAAGAGGGAGAGGAGGAGGAAGAAGAAGAGGAGGAAGAGGGAGAGGAGGAGGAAGAGCAGGGGGAGGGGAGTAGAGGAGAAGGGGAGGAGGAGGGGGAGGAAGGGGGGCTTGAAAGGTTCCGAATGGGAAATCAGATTTTAGTGAACCACTTTCCCAGCTCCCCATACCCCAAATATCTTGCCTAGGACATTTTGCTAAATTTAAACTTAGACTGACTTCCAACTGGCAACATACATTAAAATTTGAATCCTAAATGCAATGCTGCAATGTCAATGATTTAATCCAGGTACTTTTGCTCATGCGTGTAATCCTAGCTACTCAAAAGGATGAGCTTTGAGGATCGCAGTTCAAAGCCAGCCTGGGGCAGGAAAATCTGTGGGATTCTCATGCCACTAAAAACTACCACAAGAGCTGGAAGTGGTGCTGTGGCTCAAGTGGTAGACCGTTAGCCTTCAGTAAAAAGAAGGTCAGAGACAGTGCCCAGGCCCTGAGTTCAAGCCCCAGGACTGGCACAAAAAAAGAAAAAGAAAAAAAGAAAAGAGGGCTGGGAAGGTGGCTCCGTGGTAGAGCGCTTGCCTTGCATGCATGAGGCCCTGGGTTCGATTCCTCAGCACCACATAAGCAAAATAAAAAAAGCCGGAAGTGGTGCT